TGCTTCAACTTTGGTCACATTTGGGGCCAGACCAGCAGCAGAAATGGTAAAACCCAAGAAATCCACACTTGGCTTCGCAAAACTACACTTGGACAACTTAAGTCTCAATCCAGCTCTGTCTATGGCCTGCAAGACATCGTCCAAATTCTCCAAATGTTGGTCAAACGTGCGACCCACGACCAAAACATCATCTAAGTAAACCAGACACTTGAGTGGCAAAAGACCATTCAACACAGCAAGCATAAGTCGCTGGAACGTGGGCACAGCATTCGTTAGGCCAAAGGGCATACGCAGGAATTCAAAGTGACCACCCCCTGGAATCACGAAAGCTGTTTTCTCCTGACTAGATTCGTCAACTGGAACCTGCCAATATCCCGAGGCTAGGTCGAGTGTCGAAAAATACTGATGACCAGCTAAGTTATCCATCAAATCAGCAACCTGGGGAAGTGGGAAAGCATCTTTCACTGTGACATCATTTAGTTTCCTGAAATCAATACAAAAACGCCATGTCCCATCTTTCTTTCGAACTAAGACTATAGGACTTGACCATGGTGAATTACTCGGCTTAATTATGTTGTTTTCCAACATTTCTTCTACTTGGTCTTCAACAACGGTTCTCAGAGAATTGGGCAGTCTTCGAGGCAGCTGTTTAACAGGTACGGCATCGCCTGTCTCAATCTTATGCTCTGCTAGTGTGGTTACGCCAAGTTCACTAGAAGTTTTCGCGAAAACATCTTGGTGTTTATTCACTACAAATTTTCCATCATATCCTCTCTCGCTCCTCACCCGACAGATGCTCTAACTCAAATTTGATCTTATGCTCAGCAGATGGTGTACCACACTTTGAATTAATAACTGTTGGGTCTCTTAACTCATCATCAACTTGCTGAAGTTGCCCTACAGTCATGCCCTTGTACAACTTAATAGGTGATGTCCCTGGATTAATAATCTGGATGGGTACCCTCTGTTCTTTTGGCTGTACAATAACTCTTGCTACAAGAACACCTTTCCCGGATAAGTTCATATTAGGCTCTAAGATGCTTTCATAGTTAAAGTGGGATGTCCAAACCGGAACAACCAAATCCTCATCTAGAACAACGCCCAGGGGATCTGCTATGGTTGAATCAAATAAACACAAGGGTTTTGTGGTACCATCTGGGAATTTCGAAACCATTTCAGTCATATCGACATTTACTTTGTTAGTTACTAACCAATCTAAACCCAGAAAAATTTCAGACACCATCATTAGCCACATAAAAGTTATGAGATGACTTGTTGTTTTCATCAAATTGCACATTCAAGGTGGTTTTGCCCAAGATCCCAATGGGAGAATTGTTAGCGGCTTCTGCAACAATATCGGATGGAAATAATGGGGTATCATCCAGTTTAAGAGGTTGCCACTGGTCTTTACTAACTAATGAAATGGATGCGCCAGTATCAACTATACAAAGTTTGTTTTTCCCATTAATAGTAGTCTCGACCATAAGGGTTTTCTTCTTACTCGCTGAAGAAACGGTAGACAGTCTGATTTTTTAATCATTTTTCTTGGGGCTTTCACCATCTCTACTAGAACCCAGACCTCCCTCCAACTTGGCATCACAGAACTTTGCAATATGGCCACTATTCCCACAACGATAGCAAATGGTCACGTGTCTATCCATTTGCCAATTCTTATCATAACCTTGGAGCTTAGTATTAACTGGTTGTTGATTAGCCAAGGGGCAGGATTTTGCCAAATGTCCTGGCTTTTGACATGAATAACATAACTTAGTTTGTGGCCGTGCAGTATTATTTTGCCTGAAGTTGTTCATAGTAGGGCACTGTCTGGATACATGACCAAATCCATTACACGAATAACATTTTTGGCAGCATTCAAAGAATTAACTGAGCCAATTGTTGTTCTACTTAATTGTTCTGTTGCTTCTCTGGCTAATGTTTTCATTGTGGCATTTGCTGCCTCAAATCTTCGAGCAATTAACAAGGCATCATCAAAACTGTTTGTTGGCTCTTGTAACAACTTGTTTTGGGTGGCCTTATCTCGCAACCCCAAAATAAATTGATCAACCAACCTGCTAGAATATTCGTCACCATGGAAACCACATCTAGCTCCAGCTTCTCGCAAAGAAACAGCATACGAATCAACAGACACACCAGGCTCCTGTTCTCGACGATGAAAATTGTAACGTTTCTCCGTAGCAGTCTGATTCCTTTCAAATAACGACTTCAACTTTCCAATCCAATCTTTGTACGCGTTTTTCCCTTCGCCAAACTCAACCGGTTCTGCCAAACGAAACGCATCTTCGCTCAAATTAAACAACAGCGCAAATCGTCGCTTTTTAACATCTTCAAGGTCCACTGCTTCGAAGTACAGATTACATTTCTTGATGAAAAAATCAAAGTCTTCGCCAATTTTAAACTTGTCAGGCCTTCGAAACAATGACAAAGATAACTTATTCGTCTCAACATTCGGTGCTTCTGCTTGCTCAGGCTCGACCGCCATGTTTGCACGATACAAATCACACTCGAAAACAACTCAAAATGTCATATCATTTCCGCAAGTTTGGTCTCGGTGGGACCTCCAAAATTGTCACGAAGCACTACTGGACTAAGATAATACCAAAACTCTTTAATTATTTCTTTAATTACAATACTCAACAACGATTAATCTCCACAAAATACATCTCACGATTTCACCTTAACCATCTACAATATATCACTTCCATGCGGTTCTCCCTCCTCTAAAAACACATACACTAAAAGGCACTAAAACACATACACTAAAAGACGCTTCTCTACAAAACCTCAAGAAAGACAACTGCGGGAAGCAAATTTAGTCTTTTTTTACCATAATATTAAATTTGGGCCGAGTTTTAAACGTAAACATTCACAAGTTAGGTTGAAATATTGGTAAATTCAAGACCCTAGCTAGCCCTATTAGCTCTTCACGGCACGCATATTAATCACGATTCACGGAATGGTATTTCTTCAAATCACGAATCACGAAAAATTGGTAATCACGAGTCAAGAAAATACCCTTGCCCCCCCCCCCCATAAACCCATGGGCGTCAATCCTGGGGGGAACCCGTCCCCCCAGTCTTTGGAGTGGGGGGGACGAATATCTAATTATCCCCCCACCCACTTTTTGACATGTTCAATGAAATTTTGTTTCTTGGTTATCTAAAAACCTAATGCATGGTATGCTGTTCATCAATAATTGTAATTGAAAGGAAGACATTTAATAAGAAGAAGTACAACGTATGATCTTTCTGTAGTCGCTGGGAGCAAATATTATGTAAAATTGTAAATACTTAAAAATAATTGCGTTTTAACTGAGTTTCCCTTACATAGATGATTATCATCAAAATAAAGCAAATGGTTAATTTAATAAATTATTAGCATTAAAATAAGGGTGAGGACATGTTAGGCTTCGTCGTGAGTAACGTCTGTTCACAGGCTAGGACATGTTGGTTTTTAGCGGATTTCGTACATGGTTAGACATGCGTTTAAGATCATGCACATTGTAATATAACGTTATAAGTGCCTCCAAAACGCTGGGAATGCAGTTTCAGCTTACCAAAATTTAGAGAAAAATTTCAGGCAGGATATTTCAGGAAGGACCTCCGGACCTTCCAAGTTTGAAGTCCGCCCCCCCCACCCCCTCTTTTTGGAATAGATTGACGCCCTTGCATTAACCGATTCAAAAAATATTTGTCATTCTTTTTTCTTCCAAAATTAATTTTTCAAAGCAAGATATAAAAGAGATTTTATCTTTCTACCTTTATTTTATTTTATTTTTATGCGTTTTACTTTGAATCCGTAATCTGTTACTACTGTACTAGTCTATTAAAATCTTTGTTGCTGGTTAAATTAAATCTCCACAATAGACGATTCCAGCTATAGATGAAATTTTGATCTTGATAAGAAGAACGAAATCCATTACCATAGCTAGAAAGAGCATGTTAAAATGAGTAAAATTGCAAAGTTTGGTCGCGAATTGTAGAAAAATGAGGAAAATATGGTCCTGTGAAGTTCGCAAATTTTGTATATATTTGGATTACGCGCGGGAAAAATAACCATTTTTGAGCCGAAAGTGGTTACTTTTACCACGCGTAATACAAATATATACAAATTTAAATTTACGAACTTCTCAGGGCTATATTTTCATAGGCTGGGCGTTTTGGGCAGTCGGGCAATATTCGATCAACAGTCGGGCAATTTTGGTTTGTAATAAAAATAAATGGGACAAATTCTGTCATTTTAGTGGAAAATTCAGCCAACATACTAGTCGAGCACATACTAGTCGGGCACAATCGCGAAAAGTCGGGCAAATTTCTGTCCGCCCCCCTAATTTTTTTCTTCCGGTACGCCCATGTATATTTTCTTCATTCTACAACATTTAGCAACCAATCTTTGCAGTTTTACTCATTCTAAGACGCTCTTTCTAGCTGTGGTGTTGGATTTCGCATCAAAACATATCAAAATTTAGTCTGTAGTTGGAATCACCTATTAGATTTCGATCCGTACGTTGTTCTTTGTGTAAGTCTGGACGTATCCCGCTTCATTCATTTGAAATTTTGAAAGTTATTACAACAGAAGTCATTACTCCCAGTCATAACTCCTGGTTTCTGATGCATCATCTCTTGATTTCTCTTTATCATGCAGACATGTTGCAGGCTCATTTTCCAATAATTTTTGCGATCTCAGATAGATAACGCATACTTTAGGGGCTGTATGATGTAGCAATAAGCTTTTAGGAATTAGATCCGTCGTGAAGGCAAAATCCATGACATCGAAATCCGTTGAAATGGACACACGACACAATCGCTGTCTATTTTGGATATATGACACGAAAACAATGTGAAGAATTATGAAAGCGACAAGGCAACCTTTCAATACTGTGACATTGTAAGGTTTAAACGTCTGACGAGCGAAACCCTATTCTTTCCCCCCAACAGGACCCTCTCAGTGACCTGAAGGTTCACTGCCATATTTTGTAGGTGATGGTTCAACGTGCTTTGGCAGCCAAGAGTGTCGTACACGCGAAAGGCGGGACAATATTTGCTGGATTTCTCAAGATATTGCCCATGTTTATTATGGTCTTCCCTGGAATGATCAGCCGAGTTTTATATAAAGCTAGATGATGTCGCATGTCCAGATGCCGAGAGCTGCGAGAGAGTGTGTGGAAATAAGTTAGGATGTTCAAACTTAGCTTATCCAAGGTAATTATGGCGATGATGATGAGGATGGTGGTGGTGGTGATGATGAGGATGGTGGTGGTGATGATGATGATGGTGGTGGTGATAATGATGAGGAGGATGGTGGTGGTGATAATGATGGTGTAGTGATGCTGATGGTGATACGGTGATGATGATGATGGTGATGACGATTATAGTGGTCTTTTAGTTAAAGACGACGTTGCATGTTCTGATGATGAGAGCTGTAACAGAGAACAAGAAAGTAAGTTTATCCAAGATAACTAATTATGGCAGTAGTGGTGACCACGATGGTGGTGATGACGATAGTAGTGATGGTTATGTTGATAGTACTGGTGATTATGGGGAGGGTGGTGGTGAGGATGATGATGGTGCTGATGATGATGATGCGATGTTATATAACGATAGAATTGCGCGTCCTATGTTGAGAGCTTGACATAGCATGGGGAAATAAATCAGGATGTTCAAACGTGTGGTGGGGATGATGATGCAGACATGTGGTGATGTCGTGATGATATATATTCAAACTCTGTTTATCATAGGTAATCACTAAACCATTTATCCGGATGTACAATCAATAAACTCAATTAATTTGCTACCACCTCTAGATTGGTATTCAATCTGTTACCCACAGGGATGGTCGGAATAATGATGGCAGTAATGTTAGCGGCAGTAATGTCGTCACTATCCTCAGTGTACAACAGTGCTAGTACAATATTTACTATAGATATATGGCAAAGAATACGACCAAGGGTAAATATACAATTCATTTGGTACACCAAGGATGATCTCGCGCGAATGTAGTGAATTCACAACTTTGGATAATTCTCATGCCTAGTTGTTGGCATGTGTATCTCTGTGTGTGTTTGTCTGTCAGAACGATAACTCAAAAAATATCAAACGTATTAATACAAAAAACTGGTGGGAATAATGCATGACATTGCTCAAGAACAAATTGATTACATTTTGGTTAAATTTGGATAAAAATTGTATTAGAAATTAGCAAAAGTTTGTCTTGCTTTGCCTGGCAGATTAAAGTGCATATGACATGAAATAACCTCGTCCTCAGGGCCTTTGTGCTGAGAGGCGCGTGCTGAGAAGGCACAAAGGCCCTGGGGACGAAGTTGGATATGAAATTTCTTATTTTCTTGAATAAAAGAACTCTTTAAGCTGTCATGTGACGTATTTTTCTGTTTCTTGTTTTTATGGTTTGTTCCCGAGATATTTCAATTTGTTTGATATGGAAATGAGTGTGAATATGTCCGCTAATTTATGACGTCATGGTGGTTGCAAGCTCCTCAAAATGTTTGAATATCACTGCCGGGGACGCCGGAATTGGGGGGGGGACAGGAGGGGCAGCCGCCCCCGTTGCCCTTTGCCAAGAGGGCAAGGGGGCAAAGGTGGCCTTTCAATTTAAAGGATTGCCTTGGCGAAGTAGCGAATTGTCAGAAATGTTAGTGCAATTCTTTTACGAATTTGCCTCAGAAAACGCAAGAAATGCAGTCATCGAGCTTCAAGAATAGCACAATCGCCTGGCGGAGAACCCCCTCACACCCCTATCATCCAATAAATAGAAAACATGATTAGGCCAAGTTCAACTCCCGATGTTTTGCAAACATCTCTCAGTATATATCAATTCAAAAGTGCCCTTTCACGAAAACCTGTCCCCCTTGCCTTTATATCGTTCCGGCGTCCTTGATCACTGCTATCATCCAAAATAATATTTTGAAATTTCACTCACTGGTAAATGTGATGAAATGCTGGAGAAAAACGTGAACTGATATATCTACAGTTTTTAGAGTTAATAGATTTATAACCAGTGTAAGTTGAGCTTGCAACCAACGTGACGTCATAAATTAGCGGACATATTCACATTCATTTACTTATCAAACAAATTGAAAGATCTCGGGAACAAACCAAAACAAGTAACTGAAAAATAAGTTACACTACAGCTTAACGAGTTCTTTCATTTCACAAAATAAGAAATTTCAGGTCATGTACAGTTCTTTATGTGAATTATAAAGATAATTTGTATATGACTCACCGAGTTCATTTTTAGGCAAGTGACCGAGAAAAACTTGCGGTTGGCCGAGCTGTTGTCGCTATCCTTGTGGACCTGGGTCTCGTCTGGATGCCTTTAATTGAAAGTGAGAAAATGAATTGTTTTAAATCCCTTATTCACAGATGTCCACTTGCAAAAAACCTTGAAAATCAGCTCAAATCACCAAGAAATTTGCCTGAAAAAAAGCTTGAACAAACATTGGGGGTGGGGGTGGGGTTACATTCTCCCTTACACCCCCGGTAGCCACGGCCCTGACTGCATGCCATGCGAAAATCACAAAAAAATACATATTGAATCAAACGTCATGTTCAGTATCTATTGTGCCCACCAACAACATAGACATATCTGCTTATATTTTTCAAGGGGGAGGCAGTGGCAAGCTATTTCGCTACATTGCAACCATCGTGTTCCTGTTCGGCTCACCTATCATGGCCATATTCATCGTGGGATTGATCTGGCCACGAGCCAATGAGCCTGGTGCGCTGGGAGGCTTTCTGATTGGCTTATTATTAGCAGCAGCGAGATTTGCTATGGAATATATCTATGCCAGTCCTGCATGTGGCGAGCCCGACACACGACCAGCGTTTGCTTCTATACACTATATGTACTTTGGTAAGTGTTCAATATATACGATTTGAGGTTTGCGGTTAACGGTCTGCCGTAAACCATTGGCGAAGCTGGCCATAGAAACTGGACGTGATATGAAAAATTTTAATGATTTGCATCATTCAAACCTTTAGATTCGATTTCCACCGTGGTCAGGCTAACGTTTCAGCTTGCCCGGTGTGGATATACACTCAGAGTAACATCACAAACATCATATTCACCTGAGTACATAACACCAACACACGTAGAAATCATGATAGTTTAGAAATGTATTGTAGATGCAGGTTTATTAGCATGCATAGCATGACCAGTTGCCATGGCATGGTTAGCTTCGCCAATCGTAAGGTATCTAATAACGGAGGCTTTATTTTCCTTTTCTAGGAATCATTCTGTTTGTTGTGACTGTGGCAACCATCGTCATATTAAGTCTCCTAACTAAACCGATCCCAAGAGAAGGACTGGATGGCTTGACATGGGTCACGTTAAAGAATTAGCCGGCATTGGAAACTAAACATCAGCAAGGAATTAGTAATGTTGCCTTCTCTTCCGACAAAGGTAAAAATACATCAAAATATCTACTAGCATATTTTGCCTTTCTTTATTTTGCTTCACACAGTAGGCAAAACGTCAAAAAAATTCTTTTGTGTATAACAATAGTTCTTCGTTCCATTTTCTCCCTATTTTTTTTGTAAATACCTCCACATTTTAGCCATCATTTTTAATTTTTAATCGGTGCACTCATATATATTTTTTGTCTTCCGCTGTCCAAGTCATGCAAAACGGACTTAAAACTATTGGAGAGTGTGCAGAGGCGAGTTACGCGTTTCATCCTCATTGCAGCAAAGTTTATTATTATTTTGTGTTTGTTGGTGTTATGTATTCAGGTGAATATGATGTTTGTGATGTTACTCCACACCGGGAAAGCCGCTGAAAAGTTTGCTGAAAAGCTTGGCCACGGTGGAGATCGAACCCGCGACCTTTGGGATACTAGTCCAATGCTCGGCCAACTGAGCTACGTGGTCAAGTAGGTTCGAGTTGATGGTATTTCGGAACTGAGTCTAGTTCCTTGGATATGCACACTCAGAGTAACATCACAAAGAGTAACATCACAAACATCATATTCACCTGAGTACATAACACCAACACACACAAAATAATCATATCATAGAATATACTGATATCGAAGGAACTAGACTCGGTTCCGAAATATCATCAAGTCGAACCGACTTGACCACGTAGCTCAGTTGGCAGAGCATTGGACCATCCTCGTTCCCAGGGCTTCTCGGCTGTCTGCGTTGCCGTAAGCCCTGGGACAAGCCGAAGCAGAAGTGATTTGATTGGTCGTTGGAAATAGAGTGAAATATGAAAAGTTTATTCGTCAAGTGGATGTTTATATTTGCAATATGGCTGCCTTCAAGGAGTGCGCGTTCGAAATACGAAGAAATACAAACGTAAACTGCTTGTTTTCTATGGATTAATGGACATAATTTGCAAACAGAAAGAAAGAAAATAACAGAATGGACAATTATAAAGTAGAAGTAAGCAACAATATCGAAGGAACGTCAATTATGAAGCCATTAAAAAGTTTCTTCATTTTAACATTTTCTTGTTATAAAGTTGTCTATTATTAAAGTATAATTGTAAAATTTTAAGCACACTGTAAATATAAAATGTTTAAAAATATATAGTTACGATAGTAAAGTTTTAATGGTGTAATGTATTGTGTTTTATTAATTATTATGCTTTTGGTATTGGTCACTTGGCCTATTTAATACCCGCCTATATTAAAATGGCCCTATGTTAAAATGGCCAATTGGAATTTATAAATATAGCATATGGAATATTATGGATGTATTTTACTATTTCTGAATTTTCCTCAGTTGTAGTATTAGTGAGTAATTTTAATAGCTTTTAATTAAATACAGTGAATAAGCTTATAAGCATATTCAATTTCACCAGTCATTTGAATCCTTGCACCTTTGGCATACCAAAGGGGAATGCAAGGACAATCGCCTCTTAATTCACTGGTTTATCATTTCTTGGCAAACAGGGAAGACACTTACTTTCAGTGTCCAAGTTGGGAATGAGTGAGGTCATGGGGGGGGGGGGTCACTTAGTCTTTTATATAAATGTTGAAATAAAGCAGTTGGTATATAAATGTTGAAATAAAGCAGTTGGCTATATAAATGCTGAAATAAAGCATTTGGCTAGGAAAGGCGTAGTCTTTTATATAAATGCTGAAATAAAGCAGTCAGCTAGGAAAGGCTTTTACAGAACAGTAAAGGAATGGTTTGGGAAATTTTATGTAAAAATTCTAATTGAATACCTGAGGATGATAGGACCGAAGAAATTTACCTTGCCATTTTGTCCTGGCTGCAGGGGACTTCACTGAATTTCACACACCAAATTAAGTGAATGCCCCTGGTATGCCCGAGGTGGGGTAGTCTTTTATATAAATGCTGAAATAAAGCAGTCGGCTAGGAAAGGCTTTTACAGAACAGTAAAGGAATGGTTTGGGAAATTTCATGTAAAAATTCCAATTGAATACCTGGGGATGATAGGACCGAAGAAATTTACCTTGCCATTTTGTCCTGGCTGCAGGGGACTTCACTGAATTTCACACACCAAATTAAGTGAATGCCCCTGGTATGCCCGAGGTGGGGGTCTCGAATTCTTGTGTCATATTGGATGAGATCATGAATTTACACTGTTTCCTGTCAACAGTTCAGAATAGAATGCTTATTCTGTTGACTTATTGCAAATCTTGTAAGAATTGAAATTATAAAATAAACTATTATTATTGACAAAACTGAAAATTTGTATATGTATATGCAGGCTTCTAGCCAGGAGACACCCTACCATGTCTGTATAAAAATTGATTTTAAACCATTACAAAAATGACATAAAAGTTGCTTTGTATTCTAAAATTCTGGTTTAAGCCTCCTGCTATAGATACAGTCTATTGAACTGGAAAACGTTTCATATTTTTAATGTGGAAATGTGTAGTAATCTATTGATAAATCAGAATGTTAACCCCACCTCCCTTACCATCACTCAGGTATACATCCTGTTGTGGTGGAGATTTAGATTGGATCCCTGGATAGATATTAGAAAACACTTAGTCACACTTCTGGATAATGAGGGGGCAATGAACTCCCCGATGTGAAATTGTAAGAAATTTAAAAATTGACCAGTGATAACTTGACATTATGTATGGGAGTCAAATTTGCTAACATTACCCCCCAGTCATTGGCTATCCCATTCGGCCTCAAATGATTTGGCCCCTATCTGAAACAGAAGGTGCACTTGCATGTAGATTAAAATATATTGGAATGCAGAAAATATTGTTATACTTTAATCTGAAAACAAAAATTTCCCTGAAACAATTAACATACATTGAGCCATACAGTCATGCACATAGTTTTTGACTGTCAGATGTATCATGAAGCAGCATAGTGAGTTGCATTCATGGCCAAAGACATATTAGGTTAATTATTTTACATACTTATTTTTCTTCATTTGCCATGGCATGTAATCGGTGAAGGATTCAGGATTATCCTGCATGGAAATAACGTTTTAAATGTGCTATGTCACTGCTATATACAGTAAAACGGTGTTCAATATTCATACTACATGATGGGCATATGGCCAAACAAACACCTTGTGCTTTTTTGCTCAAATTTACGCACGCATGATTTTGTATACATAACAGATTTAATTCTAGCAATTCAAATCCAAAACTCATGGCGTCATACATGACATCTATCTATAATTTATATTTTCTTGAAATGTTAGGTGATTTATTGTTATTGTCGTTGTTGTAACCCAGTAAACAGACTCACATGTCACATGTCGTTCTTGTTCCTTTTAATATACAACATACGATGGACGATAAAGCTTCGAATTACTTCTCTTTAATTTCCAGTCCGGCTTTGTCCAGTCTTTGAAGTGACTTTACAAGTGCGTGTTGAAACAGGTCATCTGTACAAGAACCCAATGGGTTCAACCCATGATGTTTCGAATCACAGCGGCCACTTCGAGCACATTTCGACTCGATCATGTTTACATTATACATGAAAATTGATACATGTAATACGAAACCGAAATATGGTTGCATTTTGACGAATATTAACGATATAACGAAATATAAAACCCCAATATGTATAATTCCATTAGGTGGTCTGCACATATTCCCTTGATGGTGGAAAATACATCGAAACAAAAGAAAAATCCAATAATTTCTGCTCACCAACACGTCTCCACTCCTCAGTAAGAATTAGTGCATAGTCAGCATTTTTAGCTTGCAGCAGAACGCGTTTACTTCCGGAAAACACCAGAATTTGTGGTGTTCCGGGTTTGGCTTGTCCCAGGGCTTACGGCAACGCAGGCAGCCGAGAAGCCCTGGGAACGAGGATGGCATTGGACTAGTATCCCAAAAGTCGCGGGTTCGACCCCCACTGTGGTCAAGCTAACTTTTCAGCTTGCCCGGTGTTCATGGATGCACACTCAGAGTAACATCACAAACAAAAGATTATTATGTCCGACCCTCGCTTGATTAGTCTCAACCTGCTTCCTATTTCGTATTGGTTGGAGTGTCGTGACTCAGCCTAGTCCCAGGCTCTCTCTCTCTCTATTCGCTGCTTTGATATATTTAAAGTTTTACGCCTGGGTGTGCTGTGTGGAACGCTTCAGCGAGAGAGCCCAGCAGATTTCGGTAAAATGGTCCCTGATTTCAAAAAAGTGGTCCCTGGCCTGGTTACCAAGCATACCGCATTTGTAAATAGAACTGATGTTATGGAAATTTCCTTTGCGTTTATAATTAAGTCATTACTTTTGCTCTAATGCTGTCGGAACAATGAAGTAGGCTACGTTTTGCTACCATACGGTCAGAATGGAATAACGGGCTAAATATTACTCGTGTTTACTAAAATATAAAGCCATATTAAATGCTATCTGGAAGCTTGAAAATTATGACGAGTCTCCGACTAAAAATGTTTTGACAACATTGTCATGTCAGGCAAATATTTCCAATCTCCTCAGCTACTTAAGCCTGTCAAGTAGAAAGCGTAGTTGTGTATACCAGTATGGTCTAGTGTTGATCACAACTTGCGAGTATATAAGTAACATCAACGATTATACGACCATTGCTCAGATTCAGTATCGTAAATTTGTATATATATTTTTTTAATTGAGCACATATTTCATACAGTTTGAATTTGGTTATGTAGACATCGAACATCATCAACGAACATTGTCGTATGTACAAGGTTATTTGTGTATATAAATTTTCCCCCATATTCAAAATACTGAAATCTGCTAGGCGTTCTGAAGCACCTTTAGCGGTGACGTCACACCTAGGTCCCAGTCTCGTACTACATCCACGTTTTTCGCGCTTGCTTCAGAACGACTCGGACTAGGCTGGTCGTGACTTATGCTTTGTTTATAAGTATATGAGCTGTTCATTTAATGTACAGCTTGAAGATAACTTACAAGT